GGCTCATAGGGGATAACATCGCCCTGATCAGAGATGTTTTGGAGGTCTCCGGCTCATTGGGAATCAACCTGGGACTGATTTCCATAGACCAGGAAAAGGCGTTTGACCGGGTTGAACACCAGTACCTCTGGCAGACCATGGCTGCCTTTGGGTTCAGCCCTGGGTTCATCGCCCACATCCGGACTCTGTATTGTGACGTCATGAGTGTACTGAAGGTGAATGGGGGGCTCAGTGCTCCGTTCAGTGTGGGGAGGGGCATCAGGCAGGGCTGCTCTCTGTCTGGGATGCTCTACTCCCTCTCCATCGAGCCCCTTCTGCATCGGCTCAGAGCTGACCTGCAGGGGGCGCTGCTGCCTGGAGCACGACCATTTAAGGTCTCTGCGTACGCAGATGATCTTATTGTGTTCGTTAACAGCCAGAGGGATGTGGAGGTCCTGGCTGACACAGTGCAGGTCTTTGGTCAGGTCTCCAGCTCCAGGGTGAACTGGAGCAAGAGCTCTGCCACTCTGCTCGGGGAGGGCCTGAGGGGTCTCAGCCTGCCTGGGGGACTGGTGTGGAGGACGGGGGGCTTTAAACACCTGGGGGTGTTCGTCGGCCCTGGTCATGTCCGGAGGAACTGGGATCAGTCTCTGGAGCAAGTTAAAGGGCGGTTGAGTAAATGGAGGTGGCTGTTGCCTAAAATGTCGTACAGAGGGAGGGTCCTCGTTGCCAACAACCTGGTGTCCTCCGCTCTGTGGCACAAGCTGCAGAGCACAGACCCACCTCCCTCTTTACTCTCACAGATCCAGAGACTGATCTCAGATTTCTTCTGGGACAAGCTGCACTGGGTCCCCCAGGCAGTGCTGTTTCTGCCGAAGGAGCAGGGAGGCCAAGGTCTGGTCCATCTGGCCAGCCGAGGAGCTGCCTTTAGGCTGCAGTTTCTCCAGAGACTGGTAGCTGGGCCAGAGGAGCTGCTGTGGAGACCGTTGGCAGTCTCCATCCTGCAGAGGGCGGGGGGACTGGGGCTCCCAGGGTTCCTCAGTGACCACACACCAGCTGGACTCCCGTCCTTCTACTGTGGGCTGTTCTCGGTGTGGAGCAGAGTGAAGAGGCAGAGGCAGAGCTCCTCTCTGCACTGGCTCCTACAGCGGCCCCTGGAGTTTCCTGCCTGGGCGGGGCCTGTGCTGCGGGGCCGTTTCAGTTCGGGGGGGGTAGTCTCGGTGCAGCAGCTCCGAGACGTCAGTGGTCCTCAGCTGGAGGACTGGGAGGCCCTGGGAGTCCACCTGGGCCTGAGGCCGGGTCGGACCCTGGAGCGTCTCCTGTGTTTCTGGAGAGAGGGTCTGACAGAGGAGGACTGGACTCTGTTAGAGGGACACAGGTCAGGCTCACTGACCCCTGACCCCACTGACCCCTTCCCCAGTCTCATCCTCAGCCCGGACCTGGGCTCCTCCTCTGGGCCCCTGCTGGCCAGTCCAGTAGCTGCCTCTCTGGAGGCTGCTTCAGGGAAGACCTTTTACAGCCTCATGGTCCAGGCCTTGAACCACCAGAGACTGTGTGACCGAGCAGACACTGTGTGGAGGTCACACCTGGGCCCCGCCTTCAGCCCGGCCTGGGGGGCCCTGTACAAGCCCCCTCTGACCAAGAGACAGGGAGACCTGCAGTGGAGGCTGCTGCATGGGGCAATAGCAGTCAATGCCTTTGTGTGTAGGGTGAACAGGGCTGTGGGGGAGGGCTGTCCCTTCTGTGGGGAGAGGGAGACAGTGTTCCACTGCTTCTGGGAGTGTGGGAGGCTCAGGCACATGCTGGAGCTGCTGAGGGGCCTCTTCACTTCACTGGGGGCAGAGTTTAGTGCTCAGGTGTTTGTGGGGGGGGTCAGGTACTCCAGCCGCAGCAGGAGGAGGGGGCGGCTGCTCAGTTTCCTCGTCGGTCAGGCCAAGATGGCCGTCTATGTGAGCAGGAGGAGGATGGTCCAGGACCAGAGTGAGATCAGTCCCAGGGCTCTGCTGGTCCGGATGGTCCAGGCCAGACTCAGGCTGGAGTTCGGTCTCTACAGGATAAATGGGGATCAGGAGGGGTTTGAGGAGCGCTGGGGGTTCAGGGAGGTGTGCTCTGTGAGGGAGGTGTGCTCTGTGAGGGAGGTGTGCTCTGTGAGGGAGGTGTGCTCTGTGAGGGAGGTGTGCTCTGTGAGGGAGGTGTGCTCTGTGAGGGAGGTGTGCTCTGTGAGGGAGGTGTGCTCTGTGAGGGAGGTGTCTCTGTGAGGGAGGTGTGCTCTGTGAGGGAGGTGTGCTCTGTGAGGGAGGTGTGCTCTGTGAGGGAGGTGTGCTCTGTGAGGGAGGTGTGCTCTGTGAGGGAGGTGTGCTCTGTGAGGGAGGTGTGCTCTGTGAGGGAGGTGTGCTCTGTGAGGCCTTGAGGAGGTGTGCTCTGTGAGGGAGGTGTGCTCTGTGAGGGAGGTGTGCTCTGTGAGGGAGGTGTCTCTGTGAGGGAGGTGTGCTCTGTGAGGGAGGTGTGCTCTGTGAGGGAGGTGTGCTCTGTGAGGGAGGTGTGCTCTGTGAGGGAGGTGTGCTCTGTGAGGGAGGTGTGCTCTGTGAGGGAGGTGTGCTCTGTGAGGGAGGTGTGCTCTGTGAGGGAGGTGTGCTCTGTGAGGGAGGTGTGCTCTGTGAGGGAGGTGTGCTCTGTGAGGGAGTGTGCTCTGTGAGGGAGGTGTGAGGGAGGTGTGCTCTGTGAGGGAGGTGTGCTCTGTGAGGGAGGTGTGCTCTGTGAGGGAGGTGTGCTCTGTGAGGGTGCTCTGTGAGGGAGGTGTCTCTGTGAGGGAGGTGGCTCTGTGAGGGAGGTGTGCTCTGTGAGGGAGGTGTGCTGTGGGGGGAGGGTGCTCTGTGGGGAGGTGTGCTCTGTGAGGGAGGTGTCTCTGTGAGGGAGGTGTCTGTGAGGAGGTGCTCTGTGAGGGAGGTGCTCTGTGAGGGAGGTGTGCTCTGTGAGGGAGGTGTCCTCTGTGAGGGAGGTGTGCTCTGTGAGGGAGGTGTGCTCTGTGAGGGAGGTGTGCTCTGTGAGGGAGGTGTCCTCTGTGAGGGAGGTGTGCTCTGTGAGGGAGGTGTGCTCTGTGAGGGAGGTGTGCTCTGTGAGGGAGGTGTGCTCTGTGAGGGAGGTGTGCTCTGTGAGGGAGGTGTGCTCTGTGAGGGAGGTGTGCTCTGTGAGGGAGGTGTGCTCTGTGAGGGAGGGGGAGCTGTTTTTTTCTGCATTTTTATCGTTGTAAACCTATGAATTGAAGTGTGTGAAGTGTTGCATTGTTTATTTATTGCCAGTATTTGCACTTTTTGCACTTTTATGTCCGGATTTTTAAACTGTGTTTTTCCTATACATTACAATGTGTAATATGTGATGTAATTTAACCTGTTTAATGGACAAATAAAGGTCTGTTAAAAATCAAATCTCTCTCTCTCTCTCCCCTCCCTCTCTCTCTCTCTCTCTCTTCCCCTCTCTCCTCTCCTCTCTCTCCCCTCCCTCTCTCTCTCTCTCTCTCCTCTCCCTCTCTCCTCCTCTCTCTCTCTCTCTCTCTCTCTCTCCCCTCCCTCTCTCTCTCCTCTCTCCTTCCCTCTCTCCCTCTCTCTCTCCCTCCCTCTCTCTCTCTCTCTCTCTCTCTCTCTCTCTCCCTCTCTCTCTCTCTCTCTCTCTCCCTCTCTCTCTCCCTCCCTCTCTCTCTCTCTCTCTCCCTCCCTCTCTCCCTCTCTCTCTCTCTCTCTCCCTCTCTCTCTCTCTCTCTCTCTCTCTCTCTCTCTCTCTCCCTCTCTCTCTCTCTCTCTCTCTCCCTCCCTATCTCTCTCTCTCTCTCTCCCTCCCTCTCTCCCTTTCTCTCTCTCCGAAGCATCTGGAAAAGTGTGATGAGGACGAACAGGAGGTGAAGAAAAGTGCGTCTCCCTCTGGATCGACCAGCGCTGATTTGTCCTACAGTCAGTGAAGGCAGCGGAGTCAGCCAGAGGTCTCTACTGTAGACCCAGGACTGAGGCTGTAGACCCAGGACTGAGGCTGTAGACCCAGGACTGAGGCTGTAGACCCAGGACTGAGGCTGTAGACCCAGGACTGAGGCTGTAGACCCAGGACTGAGGCTATAGACCCAGGACTGAGGCTGTAGACCCAGGACTGAGGCTGTAGATCCAGGACTGAGGCTGTAGACCCAGGACTGAGGCTGTAGACCCAGGACTGAGGCTGTAGACCCAGGACTGAGGCTGTAGACCCAGGACTGAGGCTGTAGACCCAGGACTGAGGCTGTAGACCCAGGACTGAGGCTGTAGACCCAGGACTGAGGCTGTAGACCCAGGACTGAGGCTGTAGACCCTGGACTGAGGCTGTAGACCCAGGACTGAGGCTGTAGACCCAGGACTGAGGCTGTAGATTCAGGACTGAGGCTGTAGACCCTGGACTGAGGCTGTAGACCCAGGACTGCGGCTGTAGACCTTGTAGACCCTGCAGACCTGTAGACCCTGTAGACCCTGTAGACCTGTAGACCCTGTAGACCCTGTAGACCCTGCAGACCTCTCGCATGGCGCCGTAAAGATGGCGCCGTGGCAAGAGCTCTGGTGTGTGTCGTCTGGTGCACACCGGGGTAGTCTTGCACAGTTTTTCCAATGTGGTTTTACTGCAAATGGCAAATAAATTAATCTGAATCTGAATCTGACCTGTAGACCTTGTAGACCCTGCAGACCTGTAGACCCTGTAGACCCTGTAGACCCTGTAGACCCTGCAGACCCTGTAGACCCTGCAGACCTGTAGACCCTGTAGACCCTGTAGACCCTGTAGACCCTGTAGACCCTGTAGACCCTGTAGACCCTGTAGACCTGTAGACCCTGTAGACCCTGTAGACCCTGTAGACCCTGCAGACCTGTAGACCCTGTAGACCCTGTAGACCCTGTAGACTCTGTAGACCCTGCAGACCCTGTAGACCCTGTAGACCTGAGACTGAGACTAACGCTGTAGGTTCATGAACTGTTCAAAGGAAACGGCTCTGACAGAACCAGGGTTTAATCGGGGGACACGGGATTCCCGGGAAATGTTTTGACGAGAAACGGGAAATGAAAGTTGAAAAAAATCCAGTGCGCTCCTTTTATAGAGCGCAAATCTCATTTACAATCTACAAGTCTCCAGCGGAGACCAAGGATCAGTGTGTTCAATGGGTTTCATCGCACTAAACCACAGCTGTAATGTCAGCCCAGCCTCAGGGGGGCGCAGGTGAGCCCAGCCTCAGGGGGGCGCAGGTGAACCCAGCCTCAGGGGGGCGCAGGTGAGCCCAGCCTCAGGGGGGCGCAGGTGAACCCAGCCTCAGGGGGGCGCAGGTGAGCCCAGCCTCAGGGGGGCGCAGGTGAGCCCAGCCTCAGGGGGGCGCAGGTGAACCCAGCCTCAGGGGGGCGCAGGTGAACCCAGCCTCAGAGGGGGGGGCGCAGGTGAACCCAGCCTCAGGGGGGCGCAGGTGAACCCAGCCTCAGGGGGGCGCAGGTGAGCCCAGCCTCAGGGGGGCGCAGGTGAACCCAGCCTCAGGGGGGCGCAGGTGAGCCCAGACTCAGGGGGGCGCAGGTGAGGCCAGCCTCAGGGGGGCGCAGGTGAACCCAGCCTCAGGGGGGCGCAGGTGAGCCCAGCCTCAGGGGGGCGCAGGTGAGCCCAGCCTCAGGGGGGCGCAGGTGAGCCAAGCCTCAGGGTGGCGCAGGTGAACACAGCCTCAGGGGGGCGCAGGTGAGCCCAGCCTCAGGGGGGCGCAGGTGAACCCAGCCTCAGGGGGGCGCAGGTGAACCCAGCCTCAGGGGGGCTCAGGTGAGGCCAGCCTCAGGGGGGCGCAGGTGAGGCCAGCCTCAGGGGGGCGCAGGTGAACCCAGCCTCAGGGGGGCGCAGGTGAACCCAGCCTCAGGGGGGCGCAGGTGAGGCCAGCCTCAGGGGGGCGCAGGTGAGCCCAGCCTCAGGGGGGCGCAGGTGAGCCCAGCCTCAGGGGGGCGCAGGTGAGGCCAGCCTCAGGGGGGCGCAGGTGAACCCAGCCTCAGGGGGGCGCAGGTGAGGCCAGCCTCAGGGGGGCGCAGGTGAGCCCAGCCTCAGGGGGGCGCAGGTGAACCCAGACTCAGGGGGGCGCAGGTGAGGCCAGCCTCAGGGGGGCGCAGGTGAGCCCAGCCTCAGGGGGGCGCAGGTGAACCCAGCCTCAGGGGGGCGCAGGTGAGCCCAGCCTCAGGGGGGCGCAGGTGAGCCCAGCCTCAGGGTGGCGCAGGTGAACACAGCCTCAGGGGGGCGCAGGTGAGCCCAGCCTCAGGGGGGCGCAGGTGAGCCCAGCCTCAGGGGGGCGCAGGTGAACCCAGCCTCAGGGGGGCTCAGGTGAGGCCAGCCTCAGGGGGGCGCAGGTGAGGCCAGCCTCAGGGGGCGCAGGTGAACCCAGCCTCAGGGGGGCGCAGGTGAGGCCAGCCTCAGGGGGGCGCAGGTGAGCCCAGCATCAGGGGGGCGCAGGTGAACCCAGCCTCAGGGGGGCGCAGGTGAACCCAGCCTCAGGGGGGCGCAGGTGAGGCCAGCCTCAGGGGGGCGCAGGTGAACCCAGCCTCAGGGGGGCGCAGGTGAGGCCAGCCTCAGGGGGGCGCAGGTGAACCTAGCCTCAGGGGGGCGCAGGTGAGGCCAGCCTCAGGGGGGCGCAGGTGAGGCCAGCCTCAGGGGGGCGCAGGTGAGGCCAGCCTCAGGGGGGCGCAGGTGAACCCAGCCTCAGGGGGGCGCAGGTGAGCCCAGCCTCAGGGGGGGCGCAGGTGAGCCCAGCCTCAGGGGGGCGCAGGTGAGGCCAGCCTCAGGGGGGCGCAGGTGAACCCAGCCTCAGGGGGGCGCAGGTGAGCCCAGCCTCAGGGGGGCGCAGGTGAAGCCAGCCTCAGGGGGGGGGCGCAGGTGAAGCCCAGCCTCAGGGGGGGGCGCAGGTGAGCCCAGCCTCAGGGGGGCGCAGGTGAGGCCAGCCTCAGGGGGGCGCAGGTGAACCCAGCCTCAGGGGGGCGCAGGTGAGGCCAGCCTCAGGGGGGCGCAGGTGAGGCCAGCCTCAGGGGGGCGCAGGTGAACCCAGCCTCAGGGGGGTCGCAGGTGAACCCAGCCTCAGGGGGGCGCAGGTGAGGCCAGCCTCAGGGGGGCGCAGGTGAACCCAGCCTCAGGGGGGCGCAGGTGAACCCAGCCTCAGGGGGGCGCAGGTGAGCCCAGCCTCAGGGGGGCGCAGGTGAACCCAGCCTCAGGGGGGCGCAGGTGAGGCCAGCCTCAGGGGGGCGCAGGTGAACCCAGCCTCAGGGGGGCGCAGGTGAGCCCAGCCTCAGGGGGGCGCAGGTGAACCCAGCCTCAGGGGGGCGCAGGTGAACCCAGCCTCAGGGGGGCGCAGGTGAGGCCAGCCCTCAGGGGGGCGCAGGTGAACCCAGCCTCAGGGGGGCGCAGGTGAGGCCAGCCTCAGGGGGGGGCGCAGGTGAACCCAGCCTCAGGGGGGCGCAGGTGAGGCCAGCCTCAGGGGGGCGCAGGTGAACCCAGCCTCAGGGGGGCGCAGGTGAGCCCAGCCTCAGGGGGGCGCAGGTGAACCCAGCCTCAGGGGGCGCAGGTGAGGCCAGCCTCAGGGGGGCGCAGGTGAACCCAGCCTCAGGGGGGCGCAGGTGAGGCCAGCCTCAGGGGGGCGCAGGTGAACCCAGCCTCAGGGGGGCGCAGGTGAGCCCAGGCTCAGGGGGGCGCAGGTGAACCCAGCCTCAGGGGGGCGCAGGTGAGGCCAGCCTCAGGGGGGCGCAGGTGAACCCAGCCTCAGGGGGGCGCAGGTGAGCCCAGCCTCAGGGGGGCGCAGGTGAACCCAGCCTCAGGGGGGCGCAGGTGAGCCCAGCCTCAGGGGGGCGCAGGTGAACCCAGCCTCAGGGGGGCGCAGGTGAGGCCAGCCTCAGGGGGGCGCAGGTGAACCCAGCCTCAGGGGGGCGCAGGTGAACCCAGCCTCAGGGGGGCGCAGGTGAACCCAGCCTCAGGGGGGCGCAGGTGAACCCAGCCTCAGGGGGGCGCAGGTGAACCCAGCCTCAGGGGGGCGCAGGTGAGGCCAGCCTCAGGGGGGCGCAGGTGAACCCAGAATTTGACTGCATCTGATTCTATCAGAAAGAGTCTTTCTTTTTTTCATCTGCTGAGAGCAGCTACAACATAAATATAACACATTTTAAGATGATTTAAAATGCATTTGGGAAATGTTCTGCTTCCAATGATGATATATATGTTTATGATATATATGTATATGATATATATGTATATGATATATATGTTTAGGATATATATGTATATGATATATATGTATATGATATATATGTTTATGATATATATGTAATGATATATATGTTTATAATATATATGTTTATGATATATATGTATATGATATATATGTATATGATATGTATGTATATGATATGTATGTAATGATATATATGTTTATAATATATATGTTTATGATATATATGTATATGATATATATGTATATGATATATATGTTTATGATATATATGTATATGATATATATGTATATGATATATATGTTTATGATATATATGTATATGATATATATGTTTAGGATATATATGTATATGATATATATGTTTATGATATATATGTTTATGATATATATGTTTATGATATATATGTATTATGATATATTTGTTTACTGATATTGGTATGTTTATGATATATATGTATATGATATATATGTTTATGATATATATTGTATATTCTATATATTGTTGTATGATATATATGTTAATGATATATATGTTTATGATATATATGTATTATGATATATATGTTTATGATTATATATGTTTAAGATTATATATGTTTATGATAATTATGTTTATGATATATATGTTTTATGATTTAATATGTTTATGATTCTTTTTTGTATATGATTATATATGTTTATGATATATATGTATATGATATATATGTTTATGATATATATGTTTTGATGATATATATGTTGATGATATATATGTTTATGATATAATATGGTTTCTGATATATATGTATAAGTATAATCTCTGGTCTCTCTCGGTTCTCTCTCTGGACCTAGAGAGCCAGAGATAGCCCAGATGAGAGACCATAGATATACCAGATATCTCCCATTCTTATCTCCTCTTTATACAGCTTCTCTACCATATATCATCTTCCCCTTTATCCCTATCTCTACCATATTTCTCATACCATCTCTAAGTACCATCTCTCTACCCTCTTCTTTCTACCCCTCTCTATACCATCTCTCTCCTCTGTATGTCTCCTCTTCTCTCTTCCCTATTCTCTACTCATATATCTCTTCGCCCTCTCTCTTTCTCCTATCTCTCTCTCCATCTCTTCTCCCTCTCTCTCGTGTGTTCTCATCTCTCCTCTCCCTCTCTTCTCTTCCTCTCTCTCTCCTCTCTCCCCTCTCTTCTCCTCTTCTCCTCTCTCTTCTCCCTCTCTCTCTCTCTCTCCTCTCTCTTCTCTCTCCTCTCTCTTCTCTCTCTCTTCTCTCTCTCTCCTCTATCCCTACTCTCCCCCTACTACCTACTCTCTCTCTCACCCTCCATATCTCATCTCTACCATATTCTCATACTCCCCTCATTCTTTTTTCCCATCTCTCTCTCTCTCTCTCTAACCATATGATTGTTTTTCTCTACTAGCTCTCTTCTCTGGTATCCTCCTCTCGATCCTTAGAGAATATACATAGAATAGATGAGAGAGACAGAGATCGAGATAGAGAGATGCGCGAGTTCTGCGAGCCAGCGAGGATAGGAGAGCATAGAGCAGTAGAGGGCGCTTGTAGAGTGAATGTATCGAGAGATGATGCGCCTAACCCCCCTCGCGATAGAGACAGGCAGAGAGAGAGAGAGACCAGAGGGAGACGGAGAGAGAGACAGACGAGAAGAGAGAGAGATGGGATGTTTAGAGCAGATGAGAGAGGAGAGAGACATTGTTAGAGAGGAGAAGGAGAGAGAGACGAGAGATGCGAGAGAGAGAGAGAGAGAGGAGAGGGAGAGAGGGAGAGAGAGAGAGATGATGAGGGAGAGAGGGAGAGAGAGATCGAGAGGAGGAGAGAGAGAGAGAGAGCGAGGAGAGAGGAGAGGAGAGAGAGAGAGAGAGAGAGAGAGAGAGGGAAGAGTGAGACATAACAGAGAAAAAAGAGAGTATGAGAAAAAAGCTTTAATCAAGTAATGTCTCTGAATTCTTGGTCTTCAAGGCGCCAGCCTCTAAACAATCAATAAAACTGTTCTCTTCTCGAGATTTGATAAAAACAACCTCTTTTTACAACGTCTGCAGCCGGTGCAGGGTGCTCCCACACACACAGGGTGCTCCCACACACACACAGGGTGCCCCCACACACACAGGGTGCTCCCACACACACAGGGTGCTCCCACACACACAGGGTGCTCCCACACACACAGGGTGCTCCCACACACACAGGGTGCTCCCACACACAGGGTGCTCCCACACACAGGGTGCCCCCACACACACAGGGTGCTCCCACACACACAGGGTGCTCCCACACACAGGGTGCTCCCACACACACAGGGTGCTCCCACACACAGGGTGCTCCCACACACAGGGTGCCCCACACACACAGGGTGCTCCCACACACAGGGTGCTCCCACACACACAGGGTGCTCCCACCCACACACAGGGTGCTCCCACACACAGGGTGCTCCCACACACACAGGGTGCTCCCACACACACAGGGTGCCCCCACACACAGGGTGCTCCCACACCACACAGGGTGCTCCCACACACACACAGGGTGCTCCCACACACAGGGTGCTCCCACACACACAGGGTGCACCCACACACACAGGGTGCTCCCACACACACAGGGTGCTCCCACACACAGGGTGCTCCCACACACAAAGGGTGCTCCCAACACACAGGGTGCTCCACAACACAGGGTGCTCCCACACACAGGGTGCCCCCAAACCCCCCCCACACAACAGGGTGCTCCACAACACAGGGTGCGCGCCACAACACTAGGGTGCCCCAACCACCACACAGGGTGCTCCCACACCCACAGTGAGCACCTACACACCACAGGTGCCTGCTCCACACACACAAGGGTCGCTCCCCACACAGGGGCACCCCCCCCATGTTTTCCCCACCACACAGGGAGCACCCCCACACCGGCGCAGCTCACACCACACCCTCAGGTATACCCCCCCCTCTTATCACCCCTACCCCATTTATGTCCTATCACCCCCCCCCTCGTTTATCGACCCTTATCTAAACATTAATACACAACAGTACACAACTCTTACCACATTACACACAAATTACACACATTATACACACAATACAATATTCTGGTCTCTCTCTCTCTGGTCTCTCTCTCTCTCTCTGGTCTCTCTCTGTCTCTCTCTGGTCTCTCTCTGGTCTCTCTCTGGTCTGGTCTCTCTCTGGTCTCTCTCTGGTCTCTCTCTGGTCTCTCTCTTGTCTCTCTCTTGTCTCTGGTCTCTCTCTGGTCTCTCTCTGGTCTCTCTCTAGTCTCTCTCTGGTCTCTCTCTGGTATCTCTCTGGTCTCTCTCTCTCTGGTCTCTCTCTTTGGCCTCTCACTGGTCTCTCTCTGGTCTCTCTCTTGTCTCTCTATGGTCTCTCTCTGGTCTCTCTCTTTGGCCTCTCACTGGTCTCTGTCCGGTCCCTCTCTCTGGTCTCTCTCTGGTCTCTCTCTCTCTCTGGTCTCTCTCTTGTCTCTCTCTGGTCTCTCTCCCTGGACTCTCTCTGGTCTTTCTCTCTGGTCTCTCTCTCTGGTCTCTCTCTGGTCTCTCTCCCTAGTCTCTCTCTGGTCTCTCTCTGGTCTCTCTCTCCCTCTCTCTGGCCTCTCTCTGGTCTCTCTCTCTCTCTCTCTCTCTCTCTGGTCTCACTCTGGTCTCTCTCTGGTCTCTCTCTCTCTCTCTCTCTGGTCTCTCTCTGGTCTCTCTCTGGTCTCTCTCTCTGGTCTCTCTCTGGTCTCTCTCTCTCTCTGGTCTCTCTCTCTCTCTCTCTCTCTGGTCTCTCTCTCTGGTCTCTCTCTGGTCTCTCTCTCTCTCTCTGGTCTCTTTGTGGTCTCTCTCTCTCTCTCTCTCTGGTCTCTCTGTGGTGGGGGAGGGGGAGTGGTGTTGAGTCTGTGCTACTGCTAAGCTAGCCTGAATCATTTACATTAACTTCATGACAACACAGTTAGTACGCACTGTGTGTGTACTCCACAGACACACAATCATTACTGTGTGTACCTCACAGACAGACACACAATCATTACTGTGTGTGCTCCACAGACACACACACAATCATTACTGTGTGTACTCCACAGACACACAATCATTGCTGTGTGTTGCTCCACAGACAGACACACAATCATTACTGTGTGTACCTCACAGACAGACACACAATCATTACTGTGTGTACCTCACAGACAGACACACAATCATTACTGTGTGTGCTCCACAGACAGACACACAATCATTACTGTGTGTACCTCACAGACAGACACACAATCATTACTGTGTGTGCTCCACAGACAGACACACAATCATTACTGTGTGTGCTCCACAGACAGACACACAATCATTACTGTGTGTACTCCACAGACAGACACACAATCATTACTGTGTGTACTCCACAGACAGACACACAATCATTACTGTGTGTACTCCACAGACAGACACACAATCATTACTGTGTGTACCTCACAGACAGACACACAATCATTGCTGTGTGTTGCTCCACAGACAGACACACAATCATTACTGTGTGTACCTCACAGACAGACACACAATCATTACTGTGTGTACCTCACAGACAGACACACAATCATTACTGTGTGTACCTCACAGACAGACACACAATCATTACTGTGTGCTCCACAGACAGACACACAATCATTACAATTCTTAACAACAAACTTGGCACAAAACTCTAAAACTTTGTGTAACTTCATGTGTTTTTCCTCCAGAGTTAAAAATGCATCTTTCTCGCAGCTCGAGACTTTGAAGACGGAGCCACAGTCGTAAAGTACTTCTGTGAGCGCCTGAAGGAAGCACGCCAACATCCACGTCTGGACGACTACACAACTGACTACATCAGACCAGAGCGGCTGGAACTTCCACAGATGTTTCTGAAGTTTCTGAACTTTAAAGAGGATCGAGGCTTTTTGAATTCCATTTTCCCCTTTGGAAGAACTCGAAATGTGCTCAGTTTGAAACAGCAGCAGAAATAAGTTAAAGAGGACTGGTCTCTGGTCTCTCTCTGGCCTCTCTCTGGCCTCTCTTTGGTCTCTCTCTGGTCTCTCTCTGGTCTCTCTCCGGTCTCTCTCTGGTCTCTCTCTGGTCTCTCTTTGGTCTCTCTCTGGTCCCTCTCTGGCCTCCCTCTGGTCTCTCTCTGGTCTCTCTCTGGTCTCTCTCCGGTCTCTCTCCGGTCTCTCTCTGGTCTCTCTCTGGTCTCTCTCTGGTCTCTCTCTGGTCCCTCTCTGGCCTCCCTCTGGTCTCTCTCTGGTCTCTCTCCGGTCTCTCTCTGGTCTCTCTCTGGTCTCTCTCTGGTCTCTCTCTGGTCTCTCTTTGGTTTCTCTCTGGTCTCTCTCTCTGGTCTCTCTTTGGTCTCTCTCTGGCCTCTCTCTGGCCTCCCTCTAGTCTCTACTCTCTGCGTAAACTTAGAGAATTTACCACTATCGCTGCACCATTGAGAGTTTACTTGTTGCTTCTGTGTCTGTGTGGTTTGGAAACATCACAGATAAAGAAAAGAGAGCTTTAAACAAGGTGCTCCGCTCTGCAAAGAGGACCGTGGGCTGTGAGACCAGAGAGAGACCAGAGAGAGACCAGAGAGAGACCAGAGAGAGGCCAGAGAGAGGCCAGAGAGAGAGACCCGAGAGAGAGACCAGAGAGAGAGACCAGAGAGAGACCCGTGGGCTGTGAGCTTCCTGTTCTGGAGGTTCTTTATAAATCCAGACTTTTAAACAAAGCTCTTAGGATTGTTAATGACTCTTCTGGCCACCCTGGGAAAGCCATGTTCCAGCTTCTTCCCTCTGGCAGAAGATATTGCTCTCTGAGATGCAGGACATCTCGTTACGCTAACAGTTTTTATCCACAGCTGTTATCAGTGTGAACAGAGCACTTTAATGATTTGCACTTGTTTTGAAACTGTTTTAGTCGATCCATTTCACAGTGACATTTGTTTACTGTTTTATTTGTGTTATTTCTGTCTTTTAATGTTTTATGTCTGTATTTGTCTGTGCACACTGGAGACTTTTGCTAATGTATTCCAATGTGGTGTTTTTACTGCAAATGGCAAATGAACTGAATCTGAATCTGTCTCTCTCTGGTCTCTCTTGATTGATAGTTTGAGTTGCCCTGTGTATGAACTGTGATATACAAATAACCTTGCCTAACAGTTACAGATGCAGTGGTTTCTCGTTCCCATTGGTCCCAGTCCCTGAGACAACACACCCTCTCTCTCAGTAATGACACCAGTGCATGTGTTTTGTGTAAAAACATTTTTCAGCCAAGCACGATACAGTAACACAGTAATCGACCGGGAGGCAGAATCTGAAAGTCTCTGTGGCCCACGGTCTCGTTCTGGTCGACTGTGGGGAGAAGAATTGCAAATCCAACCCAAGGCGAAAGAGGAAGTACAGAGAGCAATGGTTGTTCTCCGATAATTAAATTAAGACGTTGTTTTGGGGCAGAATACAAATGAGAGGATTCTGAGTCTGGGTCTGGGTCTGAGTCTGGGTCTGGGTCTGGGTCTGAGTCTGGGTCTGGGTCTGGGTCTGGGTCTGGGTCTGGGTCTGGGTCTGGGTCTGGGTCTGGGTCTGAGTCTGAGTCTGGGTCTGGGTCTGGGTCTGGGTCTGGGTCTGGGTCTGGGTCTGGGTCTGGGTCTGGGTCTGGGTCTGGGTCTGGGTCTGGGTCTGGGTCTGGGTCTGGGTCTGAGTCTGAGTCTGGGTCTGGGTCTGGGTCTGGGTCTGGGTCTGGGTCTGAGTCTGAGTCTGTGTCTGAGTCTGAGTCTGGGTCTGGGTCTGGGTCTGGGTCTGGGTCTGGGTCTGGGTCTGGGTCTGGGTCTGGGTCTGGACCTGGGTCTGGGTCTGGGTCTGGGTCTGGGTCTGGGTCTGGGTCTGGGTCTGGGTCTGGGTCTGGGTCTGGGTCTGGGTCTGGGTCTGGGTCTGGGCCTGGGCCTGGGCCTGGGTCTGGGTCTGGGTCTGGGTCTGGGTCTGGGCCTGGGCCTGGGCCTGGGCCTGGGTCTGGGTCTGGGTCTGGGTCTGGGTCTGGGCCTGGGCCTGGGCCTGGGCCTGGGCCTGGGCCTGGGCCTGGGCCTGGGTCTGGGTCTGGGTCTGGGTCTGGGTCTGGGTCTGGGTCTGGGTCTGGGCCTGGGCCTGGGCCTGGGCCTGGGCCTGGGCCTGGGCCTGGCCTGGGTCTGGGCCTGGGCCTGAGCCTGGGTCTGGGTCTGGGTCTGGGTCTGAGTCTGAGTCTGGGTCTGGGTCTGAGTCTGAGTCTGGGTCTGGGTCTGGGTCTGGGTCTGAGTCTGGGTCTGGGTCTGGGTCTGGGTCTGGGGTCTGGGTCTGGGTCTGAGTCTGGGTCTGGGTCTGGGTCTGGGTCTGGGTCTGGGTCTGGGTCTGGGTCTGGGTCTGGGTCTGGGTCTGGGTCTGGGTCTGGGTCTGGGTCTGGGTCTGGGTCTGGGTCTGGGTCTGGGTCTGGGTCTGGGTCTGGGTCTGGGTCTGGGTCTGGGTCTGGGTCTGGGTCTGGGTCTGGGTCTGAGTCTGAGTCTGGGTCTGGGTCTGAGTCTGGGTCTGAGTCTGGGTCTGGGTCTGGGTCTGAGTCTGAGTCTGGGTCTGGGTCTGGGTCTGAGTCTGAGTCTGAGTCTGAGTCTGGGTCTGGGTCTGGGTCTGGGTCTGGGTCTGAGTCTGGGTCTGGGTCTGGGTCTGGGTCTGGGTCTGGGTCTGGGTCTGGGTCTGGGTCTGGGTCTGGGTCTGGGTCTGGGTCTGGGTCTGGGTCTGGGTCTGGGTCTGGGTCTGGGTCTGGGTCTGGGTCTGAGTCTGGGTCTGGGTCTGGGTCTGGGTCTGGGTCTGGGTCTGGGTCTGGGTCTGAGTCTGAGTCTGAGTCTGGGTCTGGGTCTGGGTCTGGGTCTGGGTCTGGGTCTGGGTCTGGGTCTGAGTCTGAGTCTGGGTCTGGGTCTGGGTCTGGGTCTGGGTCTGGGTCTGGGTCTGGGTCTGGGTCTGGGTCTGGGTCTGGGTCTGGGTCTGGGTCTGGGTCTGGGTCTGGGTCTGGGTCTGGGTCTGGGTCTGGGTCTGGGTCTGAGTCTGGGTCTGGGTCTGGGTCTGGGTCTGAGTCTGGGTCTGGGTCTGGGTCTGGGTCTGGGTCTGGGTCTGGGTCTGGGTCTGGGTCTGGGTCTGGGTCTGGGTCTGGGTCTGGGTCTGGGTCTGGGTCTGGGTCTGGGCCTGGGCCTGGGTCTGGGTCTGGGTCTGGGTCTGGGTCTGGGTCTGGGCCTGGGCCTGGGTCTGGGTCTGGGTCTGGGTCTGGGCCTGGGCCTGGGCCTGGGTCTGGGTCTGGGTCTGGGTCTGGGTCTGGATCTGGGCCTGGGTCTGGGTCTGGGTCTGGGTCTGGGTCTGGGCCTGGGTCTGAGTCTGAGTCTGGGTCTGGGTCTGGGTCTGAGTCTGGGTCTGGGTCTGGGTCTGAGTCTGAGTCTGGGTCTGGGTCTGGGTCTGAGTCTGAGTCTGAGTCTGAGTCTGGGTCTGAGTCTGAGTCTGAGTCTGAGTCTGGGTCTGAGTCTGAGTCTGGGTCTGGGTCTGGGTCTGGGTCTGGGTCTGGGTCTGGGTCTGGGTCTGGGTCTGGGTCTGGGTCTGGGTCTGGGTCTGGGTCTGAGTCTGGGTCTGGGTCTGGGTCTGGGTCTGGGTCTGGGTCTGAGTCTGAGTCTGGGTCTGGGTCTGGGTCTGAGTCTGGGTCTGGGTCTGGGTCTGGGTCTGGGTCTGGGTCTGGGTCTGGGTCTGAGTCTGAGTCTGGGTCTGGGTCTGTGTCTGTGTCTGAGTCTGAGTCTGGGTCTGGGTCTGGGTCTGGGTCTGGGTCTGGGTCTGAGTCTGAGTCTGGGTCTGGGTCTGGGTCTGAGTCTGAGTCTGAGTCTGGGTCTGAGTCTGGGCCCCCAGGACGATGAATGGTGGATAGCAGCTGTAAATAATCTACAGAGAATGATTTGAAAAACCTCTAGACCTTAATTTAACATTTATCAGACTTGTTTCCATAAAGATGACAATAGAGAAATAATTTTAGGTAACTTTATTGCAGGAATGAATATGTATAATTTCCAAAAGCACAGCAAATGCAAAATCAATGAGTAATACAATTTAAAGATCCAAAATAATGCGAATACAACCTTTCGGTGCCTGTCCCAGCCCCCACTTCCTCTTTTTCGCTCTCAGCCGCTGCCCGGCTAGAGCCCTGTGAGGCTGGTTTTCGGAACTCTGTGAGAGGGCTCTCGTAAATCACGGCCGTTCTCCTTCTGTGTGTAATTCTTATTTTAGCAGACAAAGGAGCCAAGGAGTGCGAAGCGAGCTCTCTCTCCTCTCCCTGACTTTGTCAATCTGCTCAGCAGACCGAGCCTCCGCCGCCCAAGGCCCGAGAAATGGGGCCTGGTGTACTGGGTTTCTCCAACCCAGCGCTCGTCGCCTCTGTCTGCTGAAGCAGGGAGATTTTTCCACAGCCCTCGGCCGTAAATGTATCTCCTGAAGTTGCTGGCTGATCAAATGCCAGGAGATGAAGGGGACTGCGTCTGATTCTTGGAGGTTGTTCCCAATCCTGCTCCGCGAAGAGATCTCGTCGTCTTTCGTCCGACACTAGTTTTTATAGTCCTCCAAGATTATACGCATGCCCAAATTCGGTCTTTCCCCTTTGTCACTTTCCTATGATGATGTAACCATTACGCCTCTGCTTCCTTTGTTCGAACCTTCTAGACTTACGAAAGGCCTCTCCCACACAGTTCCTCAATCAAAACTTCTCATTCAGTTTGTAATACACATGAAAGTAAAACATTTCAAAATACAAAGCATACATTCATGATACTTCTGGTTACATGAGAATATAAAACATATCATAATCTACTGTGATATAAAAACTCTCAGTACAGCCCGCAGAAAGCCCCACTTTACCCCTCATGTCCAACTTCTGATCAAATTCATACTCCTGATACTTGACAATGTGGATGCTGCTTTTCCAAATCTTTAAAACATAAAAATCATTCCAACTCTGTATGTAAATCCTCTTCTTTGTTAGCTGCTATTTTTGGGTTTTTAAAGGCTCCAACTCTGCCTGTATAAATTAGATTGGTCTCTTTGAGGTCTCTCCCTGGTCTCTTTGTGGTCTCTTGCCGGTCTCTCTCTGGTCTCTCGGTCTCTCTCTTTGGTCTCTTTGTGGTTTTTCCTCAGTATCTTGCTCTGGTCTCTCCCTGTTCCCTCTCTCTGGTTTGTTTGTTGTCTCTTGCTGGTCTCTCTTTGGCCTCTTTCTGGTCCCCTCTTCTGGTTTGTTTGTTGTCTCTCTCTCTGGTCCCTCCCTGGCCTCTCTCGTTGGTCTCTTTGTGGTCTCTCTTTGGTCTCTCTCTGGTCTCTCTCTGGTCTCTCTCCCTAGTCTCTCTCTGGTCTCTCTCTGGTCTCTCTCTGGTCTCTCTCTGGTCTCTCTCTGGTCTCTCTCTGGTCTCTCTCTGGTCTCTCTCTGCAGTCTCTCTCTGGTCTCTCTCTGGTCTCTCTCTGGTCTCTCTCCCTAGTCTCTCTCTGGTCTCTCTCTGGTCTCTCTCTGGTCTCTCTCCCTAGTCTCTCTCTGGTCTCTCTCTGGTCTCTCTCTAGTCTCTCTCTGGTCTCTCTCTGGTCTCTCTCTAGTCTCTCTCTGGTCCCTCCCTGGCCTCTCTCTTTGGTCTCTTTGTGGTCTCTCTTTGGTCTCTCTCTGGTCTCTCTCTGGTCTCTCTCCCTAGTCTCTCTCTGGTCTCTCTCTGGTCTCTCTCTGGTCTCTCTCTCTGGTCTCTCTCTCTGCAGTCTCTCTCTGGTCTCTCTCCCTGGTCTCTCTCTGGTCTCTCTCTGGTCTCTCTCTGGTCTCTCTCTGGTCTCTCTCTCTGGTCTCTCTCTCTGCAGTCTCTCTCTGGTCTCTCTCTGGTCTCTCTCATCTGGAGACTTGGAATCGTATCTGATGGTAGTTCTGCTGTGATGGGAGCTTGCCAGGACACACACTGCTTAGCAACATGTGGCCTAATGTACTTACAGATGCAGCGTCTCGTCTGCACAAAAGCACAGGCAGCTCCTTTTCAAATGGTTTGGACTCGTTCTGATCTCGTCTCAGCGCCAGAGCGAGGAGTGAACTGCATTTGTCAAAGTGAAAGTCTGTGTGAGATCAGTAAAATATATCTATGTTTATCCGTCTGAGGCAAGTTTATCTGTATAGCACAATCCACACACAAACATCTGAACCAAATACAATCAGAACATTAAAAAGAAAGATAAAAATATAAAATCCTTCAGTTGTTGCAGCAAAACAGAACTATTTTAACCTGGATTTAAACATTGTCAGAGAAGAAGCCTCATGTTTAGTCCTGACTCTGGTCCCAGCAGGAGGCCAGTCCCTGTGCTCCTCAGAGTCCCAGCAGGAGGCCAGTCCCTGTGCTCCTCAGAGTCCCAGCCAGAGGCCAGTCCCTGTGCTCCTGAGAGTCCCAGCAAGAGGCCAGTCCCTGTGCTCCTCAGAGTCCCAGCCAGAGACCAGTCCCTGTGCTCCTCAGAGTCCCAGCCAGAGGCCAGTCCCTGTGCTCCTGAGAGTCCCAGCAAGAGGCCAGTCCCTGTGCTCCTCAGAGTCCCAGCCAGAGACCAGTCCCTGTGCTCCTCAGAGTCCCAGCCAGAGACCAGTCCCTGTGCTCCTCAGAGTCCCAGCCAGAGGCCAGTCCCTGTGCTCCTCAGAGTCCCAGCCAGAGGCCAGTCCCTGTGCTCCTGAGAGTCCCAGCAAGAGGCCAGTCCCTGTGCTCCTCAGAGTCCCAGCCAGAGACCAGTCCCTGTGCTCCTCAGAGTCCCAGCAAGAGACCAGTCCCTGTACTCCTCAGAGTCCCAGCAGGAGGCCAGTCCCTGTGCTCCCTGGAGTAACCAGTGACAGTGACAGACATCTTGGAGAGACCAGTGGCAGACATCTTGGAGAGACCTGAGACCTGGGCTGTATCCGAATGTCCACACTATACCCTATATAGTGCACTGTATAGTGGTCACGCCATTTTGTAGGGGTGTCCGAATGTCCAGAGAGAAAAAGTAGTGCACTGGAATTTTCCCACAATGCATCTCGAAAATGTAGTGAGCAGCAGTGGTCACTATACGGAAGTAAAATGGCGGAGGCACAGAGAGACGAGCTGGAAGAGAAGCGGGACATGAGCTACAAATGTGAGTTTTTAATCATCATAAATATGTAAATGTGTAAACCGTGATATATTGTTGACGATAAGCTGCCAAAATACACATTTGAAGTCAGAATACCATTGCCTTTTACTGCAAAACAACGTACCAATGTTATGCCGCGAAAGTGTTTCGCATATCATAACAGTAACATCTAAAGCGAACGCTACAGAAACGGGTCACTGGTGGTCAGTCATTAATGTTATTAAAGCACTTGTGTTATATGTATAGCATTTATTGTGTGTTTAATGTTTTTTTAAAGGGACAGACACTGATGTGGAGAGACTCATCTGACTGCGGGTGAAAAATTTGCTTCGGCGGCTGGATGGGAGTATGACCATTATGAATAAATACTTATTCAAAAAACGTCTACTCATATTCAAATGTTTTTATGTATCGTTACTTTAGGGCAGTGATAAAGGAAATGGGGCTGAGCCGCCTGATCAGCCCTGCCAGAGCGGCCAAGAAGTGGGAGAACCTGAAAAAGACCTACAAGGTTTGTTTCTTTGAAGCTAATTTGTGAAGCATTTATTATACAAAACTCACTGTTTTAAGGAGCTCAGACAGCCACGCACAGGGACAGGGACAGAAGGAGGGGAGCCCATCGCCATATCTTGGAAGTGGTACTCCCTCATGGATGAGGTGATAGGCAGCAGGCCATCCGTGCAGCCTCCCTGCCTGATTGCCTCATCCATGGGGGAGGGCGTTTCCACATCTGTGGAACAACCCCCTGCCCCCGTACAGCCAGAGGAGGTAGAGGAAGAGGAAAGCAGTGTGGCAGCCAAGAGGCCGAGGAGGGAGAGTTGAATTAGTTTTTTGGAGAAGGTGGAGAAGAAGGAAGAGGAAAGGGAGAAGCGAGAAGAGGAGAGGGGAAGAAGAGAGGAAGAGAGAAAGGAGAGACTGTTGAGTTTGTTGGAGAGAATTGTTGAGAAGTTGTAAATAGTAGATAAAAATGTATTTTGATAAGTGTAGTTTGAACTCTATGCATATCGACATACAATGATGAACACTATTTACACAATTTTTTTTTAATCAACTAGACATTTGTAAAGAAAACTATACATACATTCAACAATTTCTTTTTAGATATTTACATATTCAATTGTTTTTGTTTTTATTTAAATAGGCCAAAACACAGATTATTCAAACATTTAATTAATAGTCGTGGTCCCGAAGAGCTGGTAGCCTGGCCCTTGGGGTGGAAAGTGCTGCTGCCATCCGTCCACACAGCTCCTGTCCACACAGCTCCTGTCCACACAGCTCCTGTCCACGCAGCTCCTGTCCACACAGCTCCTGTCCACACAGCTCCTGTCCACACAGCTCCTGTCCACACAGCTCCTGTCCACGCAGCTCCTGTCCCACACAGCTCCTGTCCACACAGCTGTCCACACAGCTCCTGTCCACACAGCTCCTGTCCACACAGCTCCTGTCCACACAGCTCCTGTCCACACAGCTCCTGTCCACACAGCTCCTGTCCACGCAGCTCCTGTCCACACAGCTCCTGTCCACACAGCTCCTGTCCACACAGCTCCTGTCCACGCAGCTCCTGTCCACACAGCTCCTGTCCACACAGCTCCTGTCCACACAGCTCCTGTCCACGCAGCTCCTGTCCACACAGCTCCTGTCCACGCAGCTCCTGTCCACACAGCTCCTGTCCACACAGCTCCTGTCCACACAGCTCCTGTCCACACAGCTCCTGTCCACGCAGCTCCTGTCCACACAGCTCCTGTCCACACAGCTCCTGTCCACGCAGCTCCTGTCCACACAGCTCCTGTCCACACAGCTCCTGTCCACGCAGCTCCTGTCCACACAGCTCCTGTCCACGCAGCTCCTGTCCACGCAGCTCCTGTCCACGCAGCTCCTGTCCACGCAGCTCCTGTCCACACAGCTCCTGTCCACACAGCTCCTGTCCACGCAGCTCCTGTCCACGCAGCTCCTGTCCACACAGCTCCTGTCCACACAGCTCCTGTCCACACAGCTCCTGTCCACACAGCTCCTGTCCACACAGCTCCTGTCCACACAGCTCCTGTCCACACAGCTCCTGTCCACACAGCTCCTGTCCACACAGCTCCTGTCCACACAGCTCCTGTCCACACTGCTCCTGTCCACACTGCTGATCAGGCTGGTGCTGCTGATGCTGGTCCTGCTCATCATCAGGCCCTGGCTCCTCTTCCACTGGCTCCCAGAGATCACCATCGCTGACGCAGATGTTGTGCAGGATGGCGCAACAGGCAGTCACCTGGACTGCAAAGGTGGGTTGGACTTCCAGTGCCTTGAAAAAAATGGATCGCCATCTTTCCTTCATCATCTGGGGGTGTGAACGGGAAGTGTGAGTGTGTGTGTATGAGTTTTCAATATTTTGTATCTTTTGATTTAGGACCTAGTCACTATGAATGTATAGATAGAGATTACAGCACTATAGTGGTTCAAATAATAAATTTGATTATCAACAATAATTGAGTATGGTGACTTTTAAAAAATTACCCAAGAAGGGACTGAAATTGGCACATATAAACATCCATAGTCTGAGAAATAAATTAATTGATATTTCAAATATTCTATCAGAAGGTAACTTACATATACTAGGACTTACTGAGACTCATCTGGATTCTACATTTGAAGACTCCTCATTAAATATACAAGGATACAGCATATATAGGAAAGACAGAAATGCAAGGGGTGGCGGAGTGGCTATCTATATACAGGAGCAAATACCAGTAAAAATAAGAATTGATCTAACGCTACCCAATATTGAAGCATTATGGCTCCAAGTTCATATTCCATATTTAAAGCCATTACTGGTTTGTTGTTGTTACCGTCCACCCAATGCAAATTCTGCTTACTTGGAGGATCTATGTACCATGATAGACAATGTATGTGACTGTCAAAATGAAGTCTATATTGTGGGAGACTTCAATATAGACTGGAATTCACTGCAATGTTCTTTGAGGGACAAACTCCAATCCATTACTGAGGCATGTGGTCTAACACAGCTTGTGACCCAACCAACTCGGATATGCTGTAGAACCGATGGAACAAAAACATCTACCTTGATTGACCATATCTTCACTAACGCTGGTGACCTCTGCACCACAGCTATATCCATCCCAGTAGGCTGTAGTGATCATAACTTAATAGCAATGGTGAGGAAAACCAGAGTTCCAAAAGGAGGACCTAAAATAATTGTGAAAAGGTCATACAAACACTTTACTGAAGGTAGTTTTATTGAGGATGTCCGTAACATTTGTTGGGATGATGTATTGATGACTAATAATCTAGCTCATGCAGTAGAAGTCTTTAATAAGATGTTTTCACAAGTGAGTGATAAACATGCTCCTCTAAAAAAGAGAACAGTAAAAAAAGTAAGAGTGGGTTGGATTGATGCTGAACTTAAAGACTGCATGGTACAAAGAGATGAGGCTAAAAAAATGGCAATTCTCTCTAATTAGTATTAGAATGAGTATTCTAAATAATATTATGGGAAGAAATTCTAAAACGACTCCATCATTTCTTGAATTAGGGGGTTCTTTTATTACAAAGCCACTGGACATAGCCAATCACTTAAACAATTATTTCTGTAATAAAATTGATCAACTGAGAAGTGAGATGGGACAAACTGATAACTCAAAAGCAGAATATTTAATAAGGAACAATATTATGGCAGGAAAGAACTGCAAGTTTGAGTTTATTAATGTTACTGTTGGCCAAGTAGAAAAATTACTATTAGAATGTAAAGAAAAACCGTCTGGTGTTGATAATATTGATTCTAAATTATTGAAACTGTCTGCAAAGTTAGTTGCTGTTCCTATTGCTCATATTATAAATTTAAGTCTTAAGGAGGGGGTCTATCCACAGGCTTGGAAAATAGCAAAAATTGTGCCTTTACCAAAAAATGCTACTGTTCCTTTTTGTGGCCCTAACAGTAGGCCAATCAGTCTGTTACCTGCTCTGAGCAAAATTATGGAAAGAATTGTATTTGAACAAATACAAAAATATTTTTTTAATAACAATCTGAATATAGATTTCCAACATGCGTACAGAGCAGGTCACTCGACTGCGACTGCTATGGCTCAGATGACAAATGATTGGTTGATAGCACTAGACAACAAAAGGTTAGCAGGAGCTGTGTTGTTGGATTTCAGCTCAGCCTTTGATCTTATAGATCACAACCTTCTGTTGAGTAAAATGCAATGCTATGGGTTCAGTCCAGCAGCATCATTGTGGCTTAAGAATTATTTAGAAAACAGGAAACAAACTGTCTTTTTTAATGGAAGCTTCTCAGATATAAAAACAATTAGCTGTGGTATACCTCAAGGAAGCTGCTTAGGACCACTCCTGTTTTCTATATATACAAATGACTTGCCACTAGTGTTACAAAAGTCAAAAATAGCAATGTATGCCGATGACTCGACCATTTATTCATCACAAAGTACGGTTGAAGAACTTCAAATTGTTTTAAAGAAAGAATTAACATCAGTATTTGAGTGGGTCACAAATAACAAGCTAGTTCTAAATATTGGGAAAACAAAGAGTATTGTTTTTGGAACAAAACACATGCTGCGGCGACAGTAGCTCAGTTGGTAGAGCATTGGCCTTAAGGCCAGAAGGTTGTGGGTTCAATTCCCACCTCTGCACCTTCTCCACCGACTCCCACTGATGACTGCTGTCGTTGTGTCCTTGGGCAAGACACTTAACCCCACTTTGCCCAAAGCCCCCACTGAAAGATCAAGGCTATGCTCACACTCAGAGAGCAGCCGTCCTCCTGTGGACTCACCACCTGCAGAGGGTCAGTGAGGGGCTGGTGCTATGAGACTTGGGTGGCATCTCTGACTGCCACCCCCCTGACCCAGAAATGGATTAAAGGGTAGAAAATGGATGGATGGATGGACATGCTGCGGGATGAACCCAAATTGAGTCTTGTTGTCAAAGATGTAACTGTTGAGCAGGTGCGACAGACCAAACTGCTTGGTATTGAAATTGACAATGAACTATCTTGGACTAAACATATTAATATGGTGGCCAGTAGAATGGGAAAGTGCCTCTCAATGGTGAAAAGATGTCGCCATATGTTATCTTTCAGTATGACTACAGATGTTATAAAAACACTTGTATTATCGCAGTTAGACTACTGCTCAGAGATTTGGTCTTGTGCTGCCGTAACAAATATAAAAGCTCTACAAACCGTCCAAAACAGAGCAGCTCGTTGTGCACTTCGGTGCTCACTCAGAACTAATGTAAACTGGATGCATAATACACTGTCTTGGCTCAAGGTAAAAGAGAGATTTACTGCTTCTTTAATGAACTTAATAAGAAATATAATTACAACTAACCTTCCAAATGTACTGTACAAAGAGTTAAATTTTAGTTCGGATGATCATAATTATGAAACCAGACATGCCACGGAGGGCAGATTTAAACTTCCCAAAGTCACAACCAACAATGGAAAAAAGTACTGTAATGTATAGAGCCATGGCTGGTTGGAATTTTTTGCCAAGTGATATTGTTTATGCAAACAGTAAGTACCAATTTAAAGCCCTTTTGAAAAGGCATCTTCTCCTGTATTAATTTGATAAAACCTGTTGTGTGACCAATGGTGGTCTAATTAAGTAACCGGACCATTACGCTACTAATGCTGTCATTATATTCTCTCTTATGTATTCACTGATAAGCATATACTATGTCCTTGGTACATTTGAGTGTGTGTGTGTGTGTGTGTGGTGGGTGGGGGTGGGGTGGGGGGGTAATATTATCACTCGGTGTTGAAAACTGGTGTAAATATTGTTTTGTGAACAGCATGCTGGATTGACTCCAGGAAGAATAGCTGTACTTATTACAGCTAATGGAGATCAAAATAAATACAAATACAAATACAAATACAAATCATGTCAAACGCTCTTTCTGTTACAGATCGTGCCCGTGCATGGTGCCGGTTGAAGCGGCCTTCCACTGGGCTCCGAACAGGCTCTCTGTATGGAGGGAGGAGTGTGATGGGCTGACGGAGGCAAGGGTAGCCACCATCCCCAAGGAGGACGTGTCCATTTGGGGGATAGAGCCGGTGGACGTAGAGGGGGCAGTTTTTAAGCACTCGAGAATCGTGCACAGATCCGGGGTAGCCAACAAACAAATCAATAAATAAGCCACGGTGATTACACACAGCCTGCATTTGAATAGAATAAAACAATTTCCTGTTAAAATAACACTGTGCATTCTCTTGAAGGGGCTTTATTCTAATGTGGCAGCCGTCGATGCTCCCCACAACATTATTGAGAGCAGCTGATCCAGCCAGCAACTGAAACCCAGCTGCAACTTGGGGAAGTTCCTCCAGGGAAGGGAAATGAATTATTTGGCCACGCATTTGAAGGATCTGGTTGGCCACCCTGTGGATCACATCGTGGACTGTGGACTGGGGCATGTCCAATGCCCTGGCGACAACACGGTACGCGGTGCCACTGGCCAACCAAAAGAGGAAGACCAAAACCTCCATGTCCTGGCTCCAGCCCTGGTGATGAGCACTCCTCAGGTGGCTAACCAGACGGGTGATGGTGGTTCGAGTGAGACGAAAATCGGATCGAAGGTCAGACTGGCCATTTAAGTACATGCTGAGTAGGGGTACATGGTGGTTCAGTCGGCAGTACACCCTAAAACAAAACAAAAATTCTCTTAAACTTAATATGATGCTTCTAGATTCATTTTTTAATTCTGTATCTGCACTTTTAGTTATGAGTGCAGACACAGGAATAAGTACTCATTTTTCATTTTGAGATTTAAAAATGTAAATAAAAATGAAGAGTATATAGCTGAAGTCATGTTCTTTTGTGCCCTGGCATTGATTTTGCCAAATGTATTGTGTGTTGCAGGGAGCTGGAGCTGCCCTGAGACAACTGAAGTAGAAACCCTCACTACATCACTCACACCTAATAACACACAAAAAAATCACAGAAGCCCTGTGCCCCATGGCCAAGCAAATTCTATTATTGTTTAATGATTAAGTACTCATTTTTCATTTAGAAAAAATGAGTACTTAATCCATTTTCCTTGCTATGGTTTTGTGTTCTTTCAACCAATAAAATATTTTAATGTTCTTGCATTTTAAGTGAGTGTGTCTATACAATGTGTTTTCTTGTTGAAATATGTCTAAATGTATATGACTAATGTGTTTCTCATTGACTGAGAATAGTATTTTTAATTAGTAAGTACACCAAAAGTACTATAATTTACCCAGTAGATGGTGCTAATGCTATATAGACAAAGGACGAATACAATACTTACACGACGCCTTGCTAATGAAAGAAGAGCCATTCTCCTCCTCCGCCTCATCGCCTGTCTTCGCCTTCTCTCTGTTCGGCGGTTGTTAATTCGCATTATGAGAAGTTTTATAATTGTTAACAAAAACACCGCAAAATTCAGTGGAGGTGCCATTTCACCAGTGTTAGAGGAGCCGGTCAGGTGGCGAAAATATGAAAGACGTTAAGCAAATAAGTCAACCAAAATTCATAAATATGAATATAAATTGTAAAAACATTTTATACATGTATATTAGACAAATATTGATATTTTAATATACATTTATTTATATATAAAATTATATTGATCCAATGACATGTGACAGGGGTGTGATGTGGGCCGCGGCTAAAAATAGTGTGCATGTGTCCGAATCGCCAACAGAATGAGTGCACTGACTCACTCACTCAGTCGCTATATAGTCCCGAACTATATAGTGAGTGAGTGAATAGGGTATAGTGTGGACATTCGGATACAGCCATATACATCTTGGAGAGACCAGTGGCAGACATCTTGGAGAGACCTGAGACATACATCTTGGAGAGACCTGAGACATACATCTTGGAGAGACCTGAGACATACATCTTGGAGAGACCTGAGACATACATCTTGGAGAGACCTGAGACATACATCTTGGAGAGACCTGAGACATACATCTTGGAGAGACCTGAGACATACATCTTGGAGAGACCTGAGACATACATCTTGGAGAGACCTGAGACATACATCTTGGAGAGACCTGAGACATACATCTTGGAGAGACCTGAGACATACATCTTGGAGAGACCTGAGACATACATCTTTGAGACCAGTAGCTTGTTTTTCTTCCCTTCACCCGCCTTGTCCCTTCTTTTGATGACGACATGTATCACAAACTGACTCAAGGCAGTTCTTTTTCATTTTCAGCTTAAAAACAGGCCTTCACTCTTAACCCTCGGTCAGCGCCTCTCCACACATAACTACACAATCCTATCTCGGCATCTGGCAGTATCCATTTCTCTTATGCGAAATTATATTTGCAGAGGCCGGTACGTCCCCTGGTGCGATATCCATCTCAAACACTACAAATTCATGAGCCGCGTTTGTCTTCTCCTTTAGGCTAACATATCGGAAAACCCAGGACCTGTCATGAATATCTATCCACCATCAACACCTTCCAAGAGCTGCGGTTTGTGACGGAGAAGGGGATATTGTGATGGACTGAGCTGCAGATAAGTGAGTTACAAAATAAGGGATGAGGACGTGGAGAGGTGTAATCGTGTTGATGTGGTGCGGAATAATAATGTGGAGGAGATGGATGATGCCGCAGCGGTGGTCCCCGGAGACGGAGCAACAGCCCATGGGATAAAAATGTGTGATGGTATTGCGTAACCAGGGTTATAGGTACAGTATGTGCAAGAGGCTTTGGGTAATGGCCTCTACAAGACACATACAAGACACATACAAGACACACACACATGAGACACATGCATAAGACACTAGTAGACACAAATAACAAATAGAGCAAAGAACGCTTTTAACCAAATCTCTGTTTTTTCCGGTTTCATTCGGTTTATTCAATGTAAACCAATGAATAGATTATTTCTGAATGATGAACCTTGCCTCAGTTATGCTTTTAAATGTCTGTCTTTCTCCTAGTGTTATGTAGTGGTGGGGAAAAATCGTTTTCGTTCCAGGATTGAGGCTATAGATCCAGGACTGAGGTTGTAGATCCAGGACTGAGGCTGTAGACCCAGGACTGAGGCTGTAGACCCAGGACTGAGGCTGTAGACCCAGGACTGAGGCTGTAGATCAGGACTGAGGCTGTAGACCCAGGACTGAGGCTGTAGATCCAGGACTGAGGCTGTAGATCCAGGACTGAGGCTGTAAATCCAGGACTGAGGCTGAAGATCCAGGACTGAGGCTGTAGACCCAGGACTGAGGCTGTAGATCCAGGACTGAGGCTGTAGACCCATGACTGAGGCTGTAGACCCAGGACTGAGGCTGTAGATCCAGGATTGAGGCTGTAGACCCAGGACTGAGGCTGTAGACCCAGGACTGAGGCTGTAGATCCAGGACTGAGGCTGTAGACCCAGGACTGAAGCTGTAGATCCAGGACTGAAGCTGAAGATCCAGGACTGAGGCTGAAGATCCAGGACTGAGGCTGTAGATCCAGGACTGAGGCTGTAGACCCAGGACTGAGGCTGTAGACCCAGGACTGAGGTTGTAGACCCAGGACTGAGGCTGAAGACCCAGGACTGAGGCTGGAGATCCAGGACTGAGGCTGTAGACCCAGGACTGAGGCTGTAGACCCAGGACTGAGGCTGGAGATCCAGGACTGAGGCTGTAGACCCAGGACTGAGGCTGGAGATCCAGGACTGAGGCTGTAGATCCAGGACTGAGGCTGTAGACCCAGGACTGAGGCTGTAGACCCAGGACTGAGGCTGTAGATCCATGACTGAGGCTGTAGATCCAGGACTGAGGCTGTAGACCCAGAGGACAGTGGGTGAATAGAAAGGAACAGACTACAGCTGAACTCATAATGCAGACCGATAAAGTGGCCGAGAGCAGAGGACTGTGCTGATGTGACCAGACTTCTCCTGCAGTGACTCCATAATGCACCCAGCCCCTGTACGGCCCATTACCCGTCCGCCTTCCCCCTCCCCAGACGCTTCTTGGTGCTGAGGTGGCCGTGTGGCAGACATCCCTCTCCATCTCCCTCACTCTGGGCTCGGGCTGAACAGAGAGCGAGAGTCTGGGCTGTCCATCATGTGCAGTGCTCTGACAGCTGCATCAATGGACTCTTCCGGCTCCCTGTTTATTTTCCCCGCGCCACCAGCAACGGCCCGGCAACCGCATGGCAACCGCATGACACCGCATGGCAACCACATAACAGCCGCCCGGCAACCGAATGGCAACTGCATGGCAACTGCATGGCAACTGCATGACAACTGCATTGCAACTGCATGGCAACTGCATAACAGCCGCATAACAACCGCCCGGCAACCGCATAGCAACCGCATAACAACCGCCCGGCATGGCAACTGCATGGCAACTGCATGGCAACTGCACGGCAACTGCATGGCAACTGCATAGCAACTGCATGGCAACTGCATGGCAACTGCATGGCAACCACATAACAGCCGCATAACAACCGCCCGGCAACCGAATGGCAACGGCATGGCAACTGCATGGCAACTGCATAACAGCCGCATAACAACCGCACGGCAACCGCATAGCAACTGCATAGCAACTACATAGCAACTGCATGGCAACTGCATGGCAACCACATAACAGCCGCATAACAACCGCCCGGCAACCGAATGGCAACTGCATAACAGCCGCATAACAATCGCACGGCAACCACATGGTCAGAATTAGAATGTGCTGTCTGTTTGTGAAGTGAAAAAATATTCAAGCTTAATTTTCTGATACTCTCTCTCTCTCTCTCTCTCTCTCTCTCTCTCTCTCTCTCTCTCTCTCTCTCTCTCTCTCTCTCTCTCTCTCTCTCTCTCTCTCTCTCTCTCTCTCTCTCTCTCTCTCTCTCTCTCTCTCTCTCTCTCTCGTGACCCGTGTGTGCACATGACATTCTACTCACGCACAACAACATGACAGAGAGCGATGAAGGCGGAGGTCGTGATGGAGGGAGGGTCTCTCTCTCCATCACACACCGGCGCCTCCGACACACGCCGCTCGGACAAGTCTTCCTTTCTTCCACAGACACAAAACCATAATAGACTCTTCAACTGGAGCACGCCGAGAAAAACTTCATTCTTTTGGAGCAGGCGAAAAATTCTGTCTTTTGTCAAACACAGAGATGGAAATACAGATGAGACTGAGAACCCCTGACCACCCTCCTGGGTCTAATAAAGAGGCTGGTATAGAATCTCTAGCTTTAGCATAATAAAGAAGCTGGTATAGAATCTCTAGCTTTAGCATAATAAAGAAGCTAGTATAACATCTCTAGCTTTAGCATAATAAAGAAGCTAGTATAAAATATCTAGCTTCTAGATATTATTAGCATAATAAAGAAGCTAGTATAAAATCTATAGCTTTAGCATAATAAAGAAGCTAGTATAAAATCTCCAACTTTAGCATAATAAAGAAGGTATCATAAAATCTCTAGCTTTAGCATAATACAGAAGCTAGCATAAAATCTCTAGCTTTACCATGATAAAGAAGCTAGCACAAAATCTCTAGCTTTAGCATAATACAGAAGCTAGTCTCTAATCTCTAGCTTTAGCATCTGTACATGTTAGCAGCCTACTTGATAAAACAGATTGACACGTCCCAGACTCGACCTCTCACCTGCAGCGTCAGCTTCATCAGACGCAGAGAGAGTTTGAGCAACACTTCATTATGCGGCGACTCGGACAAATGGATCGGCTGCGAGGAGTTGCCAGATTGGGCGTGTATTGGCAGCGTATAGGCGCGGGTGCCACAGCTATTTTTACACCTGGGTCCGTGGACAACAGCCTGTTCCTCCGCCGCAGACGCAGAAGAAGCTGGAGTTTTATTTCTAACTGACGCGAGCCATAAAAGTGTTAGCAGCTCAGAGAGAAATGCAGAATGGTTCATGGGGAAAGTACAGACGGACCCACGCAGACGGCTACGAATTAGCATCGAAGAAGAAGAAGAAGTGTTTGCGTTCACTTTGGCCTTTAAACTTCATCATGACAATATTAAGTCGGGCGTTTCTCTCAAAGGAAAGAACGAAATGAATTCTTAAGAACTCACTTGGAGGCAATAGTTTTGTTTTAAAAAGCAGGATCAGGCTGTGTCCTGGTTCTAGTCTCAGGATTCTTCAGGGTTTGAGACAGAAGCGTGGAATAATGACAATAATAATACATTTTTTTCTTATGGCGCTTTTTTCTAGGCGCTCGAGGTCGACTTACAGAAGGGACAAAGATAAAAACAAAGAAAACAAAGAAATAAAACTCCGGCTGCTTCCTCGGCTCAGTCCTTCAGCTCTCTGTGTGCCTTCTCCTCATCTCGTCTCTTTATGGTTGCTCTATGGTCTCTCTATGGTCTCTCTATGGTCTCTCTATGGTCCCTCTATGGTCTCTCTATGGTCTCTCTATGGTCTCTCTATGGTCCCTCTATGGTCTCTCTATGGTCCCTCTATGGTCTCTCTATGGTCTCTCTATGGTCCCTCTATGGTCTCTCTATAGTTTCCCTTTGGTTGCTCTACAGTCTCTTTCTCTAAGGTCACTCTATGGTCTCTCTCTGGCCTCTCTATGGTCTCTCTCTCTACGGTCTCTCTCTAGTCTCTCTATGTTCGCTCTACAGTCTCTCTACAGTCTCTCTACAGTCTCTCTGGTCTCTCTATGGCCTCTCTAAGGTCTCTTTAATGTCTCTCTATGTTCTCTCTATACTCTCTTTACTGTCTCTCTATACTCTCTCTACGGCCTCTCTATGGGTTCTCTCTAAAGTCTCTCTACAGTCTCTCTCTACAGTCTCTACAGTCTCTCTCTACAGTCTCTCTACAGTCTCTCTCTACAGTCTCTCTCTACAGTCTCTCTCTACAGTCTCTCTACAGTCTCTCTACAGTCTCTCTACAGTCTCTCTACGGTCTCTCTCTACAGTCTCTCTCTACAGTCTCTCTCTACAGTCTCTCTAGTCTCTCTACAGTCTCTCTCTACAGTCTCTCTACAGTCTCTCTCTACAGTCTCTCTACAGTCTCTCTACAGTCTCTCTACAGTCTCTCTACGGTCTCTCTCTACAGTCTCTCTCTACAGTCTCTCTCTACAGTCTCTCTAGTCTCTCTACAGTCTCTCTCTACAGTCTCTACAGTCTCTCTCTACAGTCTCTCTACAGTCTCTCTCTACAGTCTCTCTACAGTCTCTCTACAGTCTCTCTACAGTCTCTCTCTACAGTCTCTCTCTACAGTCTCTCTACAGTCTCTCTCTACAGTCTCTACAGTCTCTCTACAGTCTCTCTACAGTCTCTCTCTACAGTCTCTCTACAGTCTCTCTACAGTCTCTCTACAGTCTCTCTCTACAGTCTCTCTACAGTCTCTCTCTACAGTCTCTCTCTACAGTCTCTATACAGTCTCTCTACAGTCTCTCTCTACAGTCTCTCTACAGTCTCTCTACAGTCTCTCTACAGTCTCTCTACAGTCGCTCTACAGTCTCTCTCTACAGTCTCTCTCTACAGTCTCTCTACAGTCTCTCTACAGTCTCTCTACAGTCTCTCTCTACAGTCTCTATACAGTCTCTCTACAGTCTCTCTCTACAGTCTCTCTATAGTCTCTCTACAGTCTCTCTACAGTCTCTCTCTACAGTCTCTCTACAGTCTCTCTACAGTCTCTCTGGTCTCTCTATGGCCTCTTTAATGTCTCTCTATGTTCTCTCTATACTCTCTTTACTGTCTCTCTATACTCTCTCTACGGCCTCTCTATGGGTTCTCTCTACAGTCTCTCTACAGTCTCTCTCTACAGTCTCTCTACAGTCTCTCTACAGTCTCTCTCTACAGTCTCTACAGTCTCTCTACAGTCTCTCTCTACAGTCTCTCTACAGTCTCTCTCTACAGTCTCTCTACAGTCCCTCTACAGTCTCTCTACAGTCTCTCTACAGTCTCTCTACAGTCTCTCTCTACAGTCTCTCTACAGTCTCTCTACAGTCTCTCTACAGTCGCTCTACAGTCTCTCTACAGTCTCTCTACAGTCTCTCTCTACAGTCTCTCTACAGTCTCTCTCTACAGTCTCTCTACAGTCTCTCTACAGTCTCTCTCTACAGTCTCTATACAGTCTCTCTACAGTCTCTCTCTACAGTCTCTCTACAGTCTCTCTACAGTCTCTCTACAGTCCCTCTACAGTCTCTCTACAGTCTCTCTACAGTCTCTCTCTACAGTCTCTACAGTCTCTCTATAGTCTCTCTCTACAGTCTCTCTCTACAGTCTCTCTACAGTCTCTCTCTACAGTCTCTCTACAGTCTCTCTACAGTCTCTCTACAGTCTCTCTCTACAGTCTCTCTACAGTCTCTCTCTACAGTCTCTCTCTACAGTCTCTCTACAGTCTCTCTCTACAGTCTCTCTACAGTCTCTCTCTACAGTCTCTCTACAGTCTCTCTCTACAGTCTCTCTCTACAGTCTCTTTACAGTCTCTCTACAGTCTCTCTACAGTCTCTCTACAGTCTCTCTACAGTCTCTCTACAGTCTCTCTACAGTCTCTCTACAGTCTCTCTACAGTCTCTCTACAGTCTCTCTACAGTCTCTCTCTACAGTCTCTCTACAGTCTCTCTCTACAGTCTCTCTCTACAGTCTCTCTACAGTCTCTCTCTCTGTTATTCTGTGATAATGGTCGTGACCTGCGGCTGATGGAGCTCATGTTAACACTTCCCGTCCGTCGCCGTTGACCCGTCGCTGACTGATGGCGGGACAGCTCCATCGCCGCGGCAACAACCTTTTCATTATTTCTCTGCTGACATTTTATCACGGCACGTGTTCCCGGTCCCCGCGGATCACGGATCAGAGAAGATTCAGTTTCAGACTTTTTTATGGATCAGAGCCAAGCACTTCACTCATATTGATTTAACCATTTTTATGTTAAAATGTTTTGTTTCATAGTTACATTTTGACGACTTGGGACAATGTGATGGGTCTACAGTAGAGCCCTGCACTTGAGCCCTTGGCCCGAGGGCCCCGACGGCCCGACAGCCCGAGGGCCGGGCTTCGGGCCGATGACCGCATAATGACCTCGGACACGGGCCGGGCTCTGGCTCTTCATTTTCAGAGCGGCAGAATAGATTTACGAACGCACCCACTGAATATAGCGTTCTATCACGCTGTAGTGTTTGTTGTTCTGTGTAGTGTTGTCATTGACGGCACATAGCGTTACTTACAGGTGTGTTGCAGCATCTGGGCATCATACAGCTGTGTATCATACAGCTGTGTATCATACAGCTGGGCATCATACAGCTGTGTATCATACAGCTGTGTATCATACAGCTGTGTATCATACAGATGCGGCCGTTCACTCTGCACCACTCCGCACACACAGAACTCATTGCAACACATCACTACCATGTATAACTCCGCCCTCTAGCTAAGTCTGCGTTCATATCAGTGCGCGGCACTATATACTACGCTAAAACATTGTTATGGGAGGTTACAAAAAAAAAAAAAAAGGCGGGCTTGATGCGGGTTTCGGGCCTGAAAATTGAGAAACCATATCGGGCCGGGCCGGGCTGGGGCGCCACCCCCTCGGGCCAGGGCCGGGCTCGGGCCCAGATAATAGGCCCGTGCAGGGCTCTAGTCTACAGTCTCAGTCCTGGGTCTACAGTCTCAGTCCTGGGTCTACAGTCTCAGTCCTGGGTCTACAGTCTCAGTCCTGGATCTACAGTCTCAGTCCTGGATCTACAGTCTCAGTCCTGGATCTACAGTCTCAGTCCTGGGTCTACAGTCTCAGTCCTGGGTCTACAGTCTCAGTCCTGGATCTACAGTCTCAGTCCTGGATCTACAGTCTCAGTCCTGGGTCTACAGTCTCAGTCCTGGGTCTACAGTCTCAGTCCTGGATCTACAGTCTCAGTCCTGGATCTACAGCCTCAGTCCTGGGTCTACAGCCTCAGTCCTGGGTCTACAGCCTCAGTCCTGGGTCTACAGCCTCAGTCCTGGATCTACAGCCTCAGTCCTGGGTCTACAGCCTCGGTCCTGGGTCTACAGCCTCGGTCCTGGGTCTACAGTCTCAGTCCTGGGTCTACAGCCTCAGTCCTGGATCTACAGTCTCAGTCCTGGATCTACAGCCTCAGTCCTGGATCTACAGCCTCAGTCCTGGATCTACAGCCTCAGTCCTGGGTCTACAGCCTCGGTCCTGGGTCTACAGCCTCAGTCCTGATCTACAGCCTCAGTCCTGGGTCTACAGCCTCAGTCCTGATCTACAGCCTCGGTCCTGGGTCTAAAGCCTCAGTCCTGGGTCTACAGCCTCAGTCCTGATCTACAGCCTCAGTCCTGGGTCTACAGTCTCAGTCCTGGGTCTACAGTCTCAGTCCTGGATCTACAGCCTCAGTCCTGGGTCTACAGCCTCAGTCCTGGGTCTACAGCCTCGGTCCTGGGTCTAAAGCCTCAGTCCTGGGTCTACAGCCTCGGTCCTGGTTTTACAGCCTCACTCCTGGCCTTTTTTAGTGAAAACCAGCCATATTTAGGTGCAGCATTTGACCAAAGAACAGAGAGATATCTGTATCGGTCAGAAAAGGTGGAGATGTCTGAGTCTCGAGGCCGAATCTACTGATAAACAAACAGTGTGTGTATCGACAACACACACAGCCCTCATTGTCATCACTCTCAGCTGAGTTGTGTCTCCTTCACTCTGAGTCTTTGTGAGAAGGTAAAACACAGACGTACGGCTTCTCTCACAGCAGAGAGGAACAAAGCAGCACCTGGAGGAACCCTGGAACAAGCACTTTCACCATAACCTACATTTACACTCGCGCTTTTTCGGCTTTGTCCCCGGAGAAGTCTGGTGAAGTCGCTGAGAGCGCAGTGAGTAAGAGGCAAAAGTGAAAGTTGGAATCGCTCTGAAAATGACAGGGTTTCATTCATTTGCAGAGATGAGCGTTTGTATTTCTATCGGTGTGAATTACAAACGCTCATCGCTGCAAATGAATGAAACCCTGTTATTTTCAGAGCGATTCCAACTCTCTACAGTCTCTCTCTAGTCTCTTTCTACAGTGTCTCTCTACAGTCTCTCTACAGTCTCTCTACAGTCTCTCTACAGTCTCTCTACAGTCTCTCTCTAGTCTCTTTCTACAGTTCTCTACAGTGTCTCTCTACAGTCTCTCTCTAGTCTCTTTCTATAGTGTCTCTCTACAGTCTCTCTACAGTCTCTCTACAGTCTCTCTACAGTCTCTCTCTAGTCTCTTTCTACAGTTCTCTACAGTGTCTCTCTACAGTCTCTCTACAGTCTCTCTACAGTCTCTCTCCCGTCTCTCTATAGTCTCTCTCTACAGTCTCTCTACAGTCTCTCTACACAGTCTCTCTCGTCTCTTTCTACAGTCTCTCTCTACAGTCTCTCTCTACAGTCTTTCTCTACAGTGTCTCTCTACAGTCTCTCTCTACAGTGTCTCTCTCTACAGTCTCTCTCGTCTCTTTCTACAGTCTCTCTCTACAGTCTTTCTCTACAGTCTATCTCTACAGTCTCTCTACAGTGTCTCTCTACAGTGTCTCTCTCTACAGTCTCTCTCTACAGTGTCTCTCTCTACAGTCTCTCTCTCTGCAGTCTCTCTGCAGTCTCTCTACAGTCTCTCTACAGTCTCTCTCTACAGTCTCTCTACAGTCTCTCTACAGTCTTTCTCTACAGTCTTTCTCTACAGTGTCTCTACCGTCTTTCTACAGTCTCTCTACAGTCTCTCTCTACAGTCTCTCTCTACAGTCTCTCTACAGTCTCTCTCTTTACAGTCTCTCTTCTCTCTACAGTCTCTCTCTACAGTCTCTTTCTACAGTCTCTCTACTGTCTCTCTACAGTCTCTCTACAGTCTTTCTCTACAGTCTTTCTCTACAGTGTCTCTACCGTCTTTCTACAGTCTCTCTACAGTCTCTCTCTACAGTCTCTCTCTACAGTCTCTCTACAGTCTCTCTCTTTACAGTCTCTCTTCTCTCTACAGTCTCTCTCTACAGTCTCTCTACAGTCTCTCTACAGTCTCTCTCTACAGTCTCTCTACAGTCTCTCTCTTTACAGTCTCTCTTCTCTCTACAGTCTCTCTCTACAGTCTCTCTCTACAGTCTTTCTCTACAGTCTCTCTCTACAGTCTCTCTACAGTGTCTCTCTACAGTCTCTCTCTACAGTCTCTCTCTACAGTGTCTCTCTACAGTCTCTCTCTCTACAGTGTCTCTCTACAGTCTCTCTCTACAGTCTCTCTACAGTCTCTCTACAGTCTCTCTACAGTCTCTCTCTACAGTCTCTCTACAGTCTCTCTCTTTACAGTCTCTCTTCTCTCTACAGTCTCTCTCTACAGTTTTTCTCTACAGTCTAGCTCTACAGTCTCTCTACAGTGTCTCTCTACAGTCTCTCTCTCTACAGTGTCTCTCTACAGTCTCTCTCTCTGCAGTCTCTCAGCAGTCTCTCTACAGTCTCTCTACAGTCTCTCTACAGTCTCTCTACTGTCTCTCTACAGTCTCTCTACAGTCTTTCTCTACAGTCTTTCTCTACAGTGTCTCTACCGTCTTTCTACAGTCTCTCTACAGTCTCTCTCTACAGTCTCTCTACAGTCTCTCTCTACAGTCTCTCTACAGTCTCTCTACAGTCTCTCTCTACAGTCTCTCTCTAGTCTCTCTATAGTCTCTCTACAGTCTCTCTACAGTCTCTCTACAGTCTCTCTCTACAGTCTCTCTCTACAGTCTCTCTACAGTCTCTCTACAGTCTCTCTACAGTCTCTCTCTACAGTCTCTCTCTACAGTCTCTCTCTAGTCTCTCTATAGTCTCTCTACAGTCTCTCTATAGTCTCTCTCTACAGTCTCTCTCTAGTCTCTCTATAGTCTCTCTACAGTCTCTCTCTACAGTCTCTCTACAGTCTCTCTCTAGTCTCTCTATAGTCTCTCTACAGTCTCTCTCTACAGTCTCTCTACAGTCTCTCTCTACAGTCTCTCTCTACAGTGTCTCTACAGTCTCTGTGTGGAGTTTCCATGTCTGCTGCAGGTTTCCTCCAGGTGCTCCAGTCTTACCTACCACTATATTAACATTTCTGTACCGTGGTCGTCCTGCTCCCTGTGGACAAATATCTTCCATATGGCGCCGTAGAGATGGTGCTGTGGGCGGAGCTGGAGTGTGGACGGTCTTCTCCGTCTGCTGCACACTGGGGGAGTCTTGCACAGTTATTCCAATGAGGTTTTACTGTAAATGTCAAATAAATTCTTGAAATTCTTGTAATGAGATTGTTATTATTGCATTTCCTGCTGACGACTGCTGTTGTGAATTGGGATTATACACAAATAAATTTAATTAAACTGAATCTATTGCTTTTCCAGAACCGGGATCCGAGCCCAGCGTCAGCAGCAGAGTCACAGGTTTGTTTCATGGAGATAAAGAAACATTTAAAAAACATTATTTTTGCCCAAAAAACAGTTTTACAGTTTTTTTCACCGACCAAAGTTAATCTTCTGATCACACTACTGATAACACACACAACGCACGCGCACACACACACACCCACACGCACACACATGCACAAACACACACGCACATACACAGAAACCCACACACGCACACACACTCTCACACATTCTCTCACACGCACACACACACACACACTCACACACACACACTCACACACACCCGCACTCACACACACACACACCCACACACACACACACTCACACACACCCGCACTCACGCAGATACACACATGCGCACACACAAATACGCACATACACACATGCGCACACACAAACACGCAC